AATTACCTCGACGACTGGCTCATTCTGGCCCAGTCGGAGGCAGAATTAATATCACACAGGACCCTCCTGCTCAGCCACCTGGAGTGCCTGGGACTCAGGGTCAATTTTGCCAAGAGCACGCTGTCCCCCAGCCAACGGATATCGTTCCTGGGAACAGTTTTAGACTCAGCCCAAATGAGGGTGGTAGCCGCGCCAGAACGTGCACTGGCCATTCAGCAGCTCGCGGCCTCATTCATAGATGGAGACTCTCGGCCCCTCAAGGTGTTTCAGAGGATGCTAGGCCTCATGGCCTCAGTGTCTACGGTACTACAGTTGGGACTGCTCCACATGCGGCCCCTTCAGTATTGGCTGAAACCACAAGTTCCATCCCGCACCTGGCGTCCGGGACACCTTCGCGTCAAGGTAGTGTAGGTCCTGTGTATCAGCCCTGGCCCCTTGGAAAGATCCTCTTTGGATGGAACGGGCCGTGCCCCTGGGAATGGTCTGCAGAAGGAAGGTAGTCTCGACAGACGCCTACAACACGGGTTGGGGAGCGCTGTGCAATGGCAAGCCAGCTTTCGGCCACTGGTCGAAAGAGGAAGGCAGTTCACATCAACTGCCTGGAAATGCTGGCAGTGTGTCTGGGCCTTCGAACCTTTCTGCCAGACCTAAGGGGACACCACGTCTTAGTCCGCTCGGACAGCATGATGGTAGTGTCCTATATAAATCGCCAGGACGGTTTCTCCTCGAAGCGCCTCTTCGCAGTTGGAATGGGCTCAGCTCAACTTGCGCTCGCTGAGAGCAGTGCATATAACGGGCAGGTTGAACCAAGGAGCAGACATGCTGTCTCGGAGCAACATCCCCTCGGAACAGTGTACGCTCCACCCTCAAATGGTTCAGAAAATCTGTGAGATCTTCGGCAGGGCAGAGGTCGACCGCTTCGCCTCAGAAGACCAACTTACTTTTCGAAGGACAGGGACGCGTTGGCCCACGACTGGCCCAACCTCCTCCTTTACGCTTTTCCCCCGATCGCTCTGATCCCACAGGTGATCAGGCGAGTCAGGGAACTGAGACGCAAGGTACTGTTGGTGGCCCTGCTCTGAAGGAACCAGCACT